TGGGTAAAGCCGTCGACCGTCAACCGCCAACAATGCTGTGAAGAGCCTCAGGGAACGGGATAGTGCCGGAACACCTGATCTCTTTGGTGAAGGACATGTACGATGGGGCCGAAGGCGATCTACACCCCACACGGCCTTAACGAAGGAGTGGACATCACTAGAGATTGGGGTGCACCAAAGATGGGCTCTTTGCCCGTTTCTCGTCCTCCTAACACTAGGGACGGTAGTAATCTACCTCAAACTAGCTGTTAAGGAAAGCCATCACATGCCCGTAACCGGCAAAGAACGTTGTTGAAGTTGGAAGTTAACTAGCTCTGAAACGCGCAACTTCGCGACATCTTAAGCAAAACTTCGCCCTCCACGATCCAGCCCATGCGCAGCCGAACTGCTATCGTTGCCAGTGCACCTTGAAGCAGTTGAAGCACTCCCTGAGGGGTCGCTGATCACATTAGGATGGCCCAGGCTGTTTGCAAACAACTCGCGATGTGTGGCTTCGATGCCGGTGACGGCGTAGAGGCCTGCCACTGCGCCAATCAATCGCCAATTTGATGCAATCGGGAATGGGAACGCTTAGGAAGATCGAGCATCGTGTACTGCTCTTGTCTTTCTGCAAAGTTGCGACTGGTGCGTCGCTCGCATTCTTGCACTAAAATAAATCTTTCGCAGACATTTCCATTTCCAATCCTAGTTTCTTTTCGATTGCGCTGCAAAACGTGAAGAAGTTGCTTTCTGTCCTAGAACCACAGCCCCAAGCCCGAATGCCAGAGAGACAAAACCTAAATCCTTCCAAAGAATCCCTTTTTCTTCTTAAGGCTCAGTCCTGAGCAATATAAGTGACCACTCTCCTGATTGTCCTCCACCCCAAAACCAGAGCGTCAAATCGTGAATCAACAAGTAACAAGGTGGAATGAGGCAAAAAAAGAGTGGTAACGTTATAGTGCCGTTATACCTCTATGGCTACTTCTGCATTGCCGCCGTGTTTCGAAACTCCCACGCGATATAAAAATAGTAGCGGCCCTCGAAACTAAGTCATAGGGGTGCAGGGTGCAGTCAAACAGACAAGATTATAATGTTCCCTTCCGGCGCTTCTATACCGTAACCTTACGCGGCAAATAGTCGTCAGATTCGGTGCAACGGTGTAGACGCACACATGGCGCTCTGCCACGCACGCCAAAGTCACCTTGGGAAGAACGAACTGGCCGCTGCTATAGTCGCCATAGATTCTCGCTGCAGTTTGAAGGCATAAAAGAGTGAATTTGTTTGAAATTAGATATAAGGTGGATAAGGAAATCTTTCTCCGTTCCCGCTCGCTCCAAACAAACAACAGCAACCAGTTAGGTCATCCCTGTCCAAAGCACGCTATCTGCTAATCGTTCGTAGCATACTGATGAACTTTTACTTCGTACAGACAACGTGCTCGTTTAGTGAATGTCGCAATTTCATTATTCGATGGAATATTTGTTCTACTCGACGAATATAGTTCCTGCAAGAGTGTCGTACTAAGAAAGTTGGTGAAATATGCTATAGATGCTAATTCCTTTCCCTTGAGGAGGTAGTAGGTATTATTATAGATGTCCATTCATCGCACCAGAATTTATTTTGAAAAAAAAAACTGCCGGGTGTGAGGCATACTTTCCCACCCTCCCCCTCGCGCTCGGAAACATTGGCTACCTCCTGGATGTTGAAGGGATTTTGAATGTATGGTGCTAAGGATTCAGGAACGTCACGCTGTCAGACCGCGTACTATCGTACTAGTACGATCTTCGGCGGAACCGTCTGAAGCAACAGCTCAACGAAGGAACGATCAATGCACTAACCATAAGAGTTCTGCGTTAACATTTTGCTCATTTTCTGACCGTTTTGGTTTTGGTGTCCATGCCTGCTTTTGAAGGGCTTAGCACAATGCTTTTCCGATCCGATGTGAATTGGTCTTGGAACTGTTGGAAAGGAAACAATCAAAAACACAATACTAGGAACATTAAAAAACGTGTATAATTTTTCAAAAGTGCACCTTTCACCTACTATTCTCCCCATATCCCTTTGACTTTGTGCCCCAAATCGATTCACCTGCTGCGGCACCAGTCATAGCAACAGTGGCACAGCGGTCGTCAGCCCTGGGAATTATAACCATTTCATTCGTTCACAAGCAAACTTATACGTGTAGCAGAGACGTGAGGTGTGCCGCTGCACTGTTAACGAAGGTGGCGGCTATGATCGCGGAGGTTACGGTATAGAAGCGCCGCGAGGGAACATTATAATCTTGTGTCAAACAGAGCGACGAGCCGCCGCGGGGTCCCTCCCAACTACATTAACACTATAAAAGCATCTCGGAGCAAAAAGTGATGAGAAGTACTCAAGAATATCTACGAATCCAGGAAAAGCACAGCCTCCACACAAGGTGGAGTTTCGTGGCGGGACCGTTCGACCAGGAGGCTAGTGCGCACACGGTGAGGTATTGGCGCCAGTGGCAGCTCTAACGGTGCTAGAGGGAGGTAACGAGGCGCGTGGACCAGGGTCCGTAAGGGATCCTTCCCCAAACACCCCATCTCGGTAAGGTATGCTTCCCCGGAAGCTCTCAGGGTAACGCCATGCCAACGGTCTCCGGAGATGTCTCCTCGATTGCATGTCAGCCACAGGGATATCTCCCCGATTACAGGCCAATCGGGAAGATATTTCCGAGAGCCGGTGGGCGAGGCCTTTCCCCGAGAGTTTCCGGAGAAAGCGTACGATGGGGTCCCTCTCCTGTCCCGAGAAACATACCTTACGGCCCAAGGAAATAGAGGCAATTCAGGAACTGGGGATGCATGAACCAGTTTTCGTTCGGCAAAAGTTTCAGCACATAAGAGCGCAAACAAAGAATCATTCTGATCTTTATTAAAGGACCACGTTCAAAGAGCACGTAGACAAATTACACTTTTCGCGCTCTGACGTTTCGCTGTGGGACTACAATTTATGATCCCGCAGCAGAACTTCTGCAGCGCGACTATACGCGCGAATGTGTGACTGGAGTGGCATACTCGCATTGGAAAAATAGGAGATTAAGAGCTTAGACGTCTTCGGTCGAGTCCAGTAATATGTGCCTAATCCTATCAGTGTCAAGCGCGCTTTCTCCCGATCTTCTGATATCATGATGTCGTGCACGCTCACGTGAGTAAGCCCTGTGTTCGTGTGCGCGTTCATACTGTGATGTTTCGCTGCGGGATTCTGCATCGTAGTGCCGCCAAATCGCGCGAGACAAAGAGCGAAGTTCCTTTTATTTCGACCCTGAATTTCACTCTTCTTTTCTAGTGAGATCATGTTTCGCCGACTTGGACTTTCATTATAATTTAGATTTTACAGCGTTCTAGATTAAATTAATAAGGTTGCGAAAACACTTGATTTATGCAATTTGAAGATGCAATCTGCAGATCCAAATAGTCCCTTGGTTGGAAGAAGTGCGCTGAATCCAGGAATGCGATGTAGACTCTCCTACAATTTCAACTAACTTGTCTGATTTTCTTTAGCTAATCGTAGAACCTCAATCACATCGCCTTTGATTCTTTACTGTTACTACAGAATTCTTGAACACGAAGTCCAAAGCACCTCCACACCATCAATGAAATCTCAAATGCAAAAACGGCTCTTCGAGAATTGAATCGATCCGGGAAGACATGAGGGCCATATCTGAATGAGTCAGACATTCAGAAAAGTTCCGCCTGCTATACGGCAGTGATTGCTGGCCAGTGGGCAACAAGAGCACGAAAGGCAGCTTCACTCCGCTGAAATGAGGATGCTGAGATGGGCCTGCGGCTGGACGCGACTGGACAGGGTCAGGAACGAGGATGTCAGAGCGGTCATGCAGACTGCCCCTGTCCAGCTGAAGGTACGGGAACAGCGTCTGCGATGGTATGGGCACGTGCTAAGGAGGCCACAGGACCACCCAATAAGGAAAGCAATGGACTTCGAAGCGCAAGGCAAGCGACCGCGAGGAGCCCCAAAGAAGAGGTGGAAGGACGTAATCAAGAAGGACCTAAGTGAAATCACGGCCACAGCAGAAGATGCCCTAGACAGAGCGAAGTGGCGACGACTGATAAAGACAGCGGACCCTGCGACTGCGCGGGACTAACGCTAGGGAGAAGAGAAATAGTTCAAAAGTCCCAGTTTCTTTAATCTCGTAATTTTTGATGGAAAACCTTAGAGCGGCCACAGAGTTGACAGAACTCATGCTGGTGACGGATTGATCATATGGTTTCAAAAGGTGCTGCGTGCACTTTGATTTTTTTTATCTCTTATCGCTTTCTTTATTGGTGTGAGGGGGAAGTAAAACAATATATAAGCGATCTGATACCGCCGGCTGCAATCGCAGAAATCGTGTTCAGTTTCGTGAAGGCCCAGATATCAGGAGATCATCTTCTAGTGCCGGTAATCCAATTGGAATCCAATTTCCTAGAAGCTGTCCGTCGACCCACTGAAAGGTCTACCTTTACTGCAGCATTTTTGACATCTGGGATCTTTTATAGGGAGCTCCCTGTATTATACATCCAAGCGCTTTGTTTTAAAAATGGAATGAATGGCATAACTCAATGCGGTTAACCTTTGTTCGTTGAATGTCTTTGCTCCAATCTTCTTCGACCATCGTTCGTGAAGATTTATTTCGAAGTCTAGATACATCTTAGGATCAAAGGAATGAAGGCGAATCGCGAGGCACTTCGCAAAGGAGGACTTCGCATTTGGCATCCGGCATAGTGCACACATCAGGAGTATTTTCACATCCATTTGTGTCTCCTAACTCATATAGTGTGGTGCCTACGGGAACTCTGTAACAGGGGTTTGAATAACTGACAACACCCTTCAGAGCAAAACTGTGCAGTTATTCCTTACTTTTTGTTGTAAATACACATAACCGACGCTTCAATTACAAAGTTGTTCTCGTCAACGCACTGTTCGTAGTTGCAACCGACCTCGTAGATATCCTGATAGGCCATCTGAAAAGTGAGTTTTATATTATTCAGAATGGAGGAATGCAGGTGGGTATCTAACATTTGCAAAAGTGTACAAACGATTGTCGTCGAACACTTGTTGGTTCATGGCATAGTACTCTCCAGGCATTGTCCATTGGTACATTGCATCATTGATAACTTTATGTTTTCCAGCATCGTAAACGTAGTCTCCGTCATAGGCGCTAGAATCAGTCAGTATATCGGTAGAAATATGTGCTGTTTTGAAGACGAGCGAGAATGGAGAAAAATGAGGACGGGAGGGAATAATGCTATCTCACTCACTAGTATACATTCTGACCAAGGTCCAGCTTCTCGCTTATCGAATGTGAACAATTTTTGGTCATTTCCAGTGCCTTTTCTTCGAGTTCGCAATTCCACCTCTGCAATCCACAAACTGAGTTCTAATTCAGGCGGCGTAATTGGCTCTCTTTGAATGGTGATCCTCTCGTAATGGGTCTTGTGTTCCACAAGTATTGTCATTTCTGTTCAAACCCAGAAATTTTCTGCTGAAATCCTTCGCT